ATATATGTATATATATACACCTCGGTGGATGGCTCAGACAATTTAAAAATATTAGAAAAGAGAAGAAGAGACGAGGCCAAGGGAAACAATATCGATGAATTTGATGGCTCGACATAGCATTGGTAAAACCTCCCCCTTCAAATTATGTTATAATGTTATTTGAGAGGAAGGAGAGGACCGAAGCAAATGGGCGGAAAGCTATAAAAATGTGCAAAACACCAAGGTCGAAACGTCCTTTTTGGAATTCGAACCAGGCTCTCGGCACTGTAGTACAGTGTGAAACCAACCGAGGTATCGGTTCGACCTACCCTGGCTGTATTTCTAGCACGGGGTCATTTTTCCAAGGGCTTCAGTTCTTTTCGTGTAATATGCTCCTTTATAATGTGGTTCACGAGATTTGTACATCTGTACACGTATGTTTGTCATTGCGGTGAAATCAGGCTCTCGTCAAAATTGTGAAATCGAAGAAACGGTTATCGATTTTTATTTTTTTTTCGGCCGAGGGGCTCAGCACTTTTTATGTCCATTTAAAAACACTTTTTGTGTGGGGGTTTTACTGAAAACTGTTCATAAAAGACCCAAAAGTGTAAAATTTACAGTTTCCAAGAACACTCAAGCTTTTGAATTCACTAAACTTAAGAGGATACGTTTCTCTCTAATGTTGCCTGTGATACCAAGTGAATTCCACCCCCTTCAATCGCAAATATCTCATCTTCTATTCGAAATAGATGGGTATCTTTTTCATCAAAAGTAAGACAAGTGCACAAGTTTGAAGGTCATACCAAGATACCAATAACTCCATTATGACCAAAGATTGACGAGCACCTGATCCCAACGTGTCGTGACACATATTTATGATATATTTTTTTCATGCAATTGTACAACTCAAATGATGACGTTGACTTTTGACTGTACCTTTCCTATATCTCAATTGTATATTATAATTATTCGTCTTTTTGTTCTTAACGGACCCGGCATCTCAGACCCCGAAGTCCACAACTTTCTTTTCCTTCTCTGTTTAGTTTTAGTAGAGGTTTTACGACGCTGGCAACTGCATAAGGTCATAAGAGCGCAGGAAGATTAGAGGTGTTACAAGAGAGTAACAAACATAAAAAAGAAGAAGGGGAGATAAGGACGATAGATGTTTTATAGGAAAGAAAAAGCAAACCATCGCAGAGCACCCACCAACCACCCACTTTCTCTGATTACTGATTTCCTTCATCCTACATAACCACAAGTCCTAGGGGGTGGGGTGGGGGGAGGTCTTCAAATCGCTATGCGGGTTAATTGTGATCTCTTCAGCCTCAAGCTGAGCTGTTGATATTTTTACAATCAACAGTTTCTTCAACGAAACATTGTACTCGTTGTTTGTGCAATCTATAGTATACCTTCCAGCAACATTGTTTTCAGTAAATATTTGTGAAATCCCTAGATCCTCTGCTTACCAAGCTCATGTAAATACAGTCTTTTTTTAAAAAGTTTTTGGAACGCTTTTGTTTATACATTTGAGGAAAAGGTAAAGTCATGTGACATATAAGGGTTTGTACTTCGGTCCAATAAACATGAATTTTGTTTCTTGTCTGACTTTAACAATCAGATCACTGTTATTGTTAAAAGAACAACTGAAAAACTGACACAGAAAAACAACCGTGGATTCGGCTGGCTGTGGGTTGTTGTTGTGTTGGGTTTTTTTTTGGGGGGGAGTCGTGAAAAGGAACTTTTGTCTTACAATGAGTGATACATGTAGATATGTCAATTCTGCTGTGACTTCAGGATATATAAAATCCCCGCAGGTGTGTCTCTTATGCGAGAGGCTTTTTTATTCTTCTGTCATTGTCATTATTAATTTCGAAGTCACGCTCGTTATAGATGATTAAAGCGTTTTTATTTTATTCGTAGTTTTGTTTGTTGAATGCAAAACGCTTTGCCAACGATTGTACGTTTATATAATATGATTTTCAAAATGTACTCCTGTGTATGCAAATGTAAGAGCTGAAGACGAGAGAGAGAGAGAGAGAGAGAGAGAGAGAGAGAGAGAGAGAGAGAGATAGAGAGGGAGAGAGAGAGAAAGAAAGAGAGAGAGAGGGAGAGAGGGGGGAGGGACACAGAGAGACATAGCGAAAAATAAAGAAAGAGAGAGAGAGAGAGAGAGAGGACGAGAGTCAGGACGAGACAGAGAGAGGGAGGAAGAGAGACAAGTAGAGAGAGAAAACTGCTAGAGAGAGAGAGAGACAGAAAGGGAGGGAGAAAGAAAAAAAAAAGAGAGAGAGAGAGAGAGAGAGAGAGAGCGAGAGAGAGAGAGGGAGGGGGAGAGAGAG